AAGAGGAGGGCAGATGACCAGCCGTCTGCAGCCACTTCCCTGACACCTACACGTCCTGGGCAGGAGACAACAGGCCTTGGACAGGCTCCAAGCCTTTTCCACGACTCAGCAGAGGGAGAAGTGAGCCCTTTCAGACTCCTCCTGAGTGCTGCTTCTCTGAGATAAAGAACCAATTAGGCCACAGTTGTGTTTCCGCACCACGGCCACTCCCACATACAGGATCCTACCCTGGGCTGGCCCTCACCTGTGCCTCCAGCCCAGGCCCCCGCAGACATCACTGTTCCATTTTACAGAGAAAGTGGCTCAGGGAGAGAGGATAAACTGTCCAAGGCAAACCCAGCCTGGGAGAACTCAACTCCAGCCTGAGTGACTTTGTGACTTTTGCAGCAAACACAAAACCCAGACTCATCTGAATTTCAAGCAAATGCTAACAAGTTATCGTTAAGAGATAAATAATCCATGTAAACCAAGTCGCATACCAAATCCCACATGGCTGTGGAGAGTTATTATGGAAATAGCTTTTGATCTTTGACTCCTTAAAAAGGTAAAATACCACAGCCACGCTATGAAATGGCCCATCTCATCATTTCTATGTCAGACCTACAAGAAAAGGGATTTTTCCCCTCCCATTTATATTGTCCCCAGAATCATTTTAAGCACCAACGCCAACCCGTTTCACAACACAATTTTTTCACAAGCAGAAAGAAAGTTGTGGGACGTGCCCAGGGGACTGAAAATACCAACCAGCAAAACGAGAACTGTGCTCCAGACCCATGACACAGTGCTGGAGAGGGCGATCCAGGGTCCTGTTGTGGGGCACCAGCACAGGCTGCCCCGAAAGCCACTTTGGGGCACATCACCGCTGTAGGAATATCTCCAAGAAGTGGTGCAAGGCACCCATTCTCTTCTTAGGAGAAATTCTAGAACCCAGCTTTTGTGGATTAATTAAAGAACACTCGAGAACTTTCTGTCTGTGGCTTTTCACTGGCTTCTCAGAAGCCCCCTACACGGGCAAGCCAGGCCCCCTCTTAGACAATCATGCCTTTCCCTGTGCTGAGTGAGAGCAGCCATGCCAGTCCGGCTGGCTGAGTTCTGTAGCCTTGGACAAGCCATGTCCCTCTCCAGAGGGTGTTAGGCTCTAAACTAGAGCTCACTCTTGCAGATGGCGCACCTCTCTTACTGAAAATCCTCTTTCCACCAGAAGCTGCACACATACATATGTGTGTATCACATTCACACAGGTGGTTCTGAGAAAAACAGCTACAAAGGCCAATCAGTACATGACCAGTGCCACCCTCAATCCTACCGAAAGGTGTGTTACTGACATAACTCTCCCTGCTGAGCCCGCAATGCTGCAAGTGACCCGGAGCTCTGGCCGGGGTATATTCAATTATAGCCCTTCTAGAATCTACCTGAGGATTTACCTACATAAACCCAAAAGTTTAAAAAGGGATCCATTTTTAAAGACGAGAGAGAGGGTCCTTTAAAGATATTACCTATTTCATTACGTACTAGGCCCAAACATTATATCATATCTAGCGCGGATGAAAATTAGACAATTAAAATTCTCTTAATGACAAAACAACCCAACAAAGTCATCTTGCCTTTAAAGGGGCTTTTTCTTAGCTCAGTGCAATGCATCACCCCATAAAACCCTCATCTCAAAGCTCACCAGAAGCCACAATCTTTCCTATTCTCAGGCACATCGACTATTGCTATGACTATTCATTGATTTGGACCTAAGTTTTTTAAAGCTGAGAGCTACATCACTGAAACCACCACCCCCCACGCCCCCACCCCCACCCCTGCCAAAAAAAGGAGGCAAATACTGTTCTTTCACCTGGCATGACTAGTTGTTCAGGGTCTCAGGAAAGTATGTGACCTCAGGCAGCCAAACAGAACTGCACTATGTTCTGCCTTTGGAATATGCTACGCCACTTTTCAGAGTGCCTCAGAGTTCTGAAATACCTGCCCCACTCCACAGTGAGAATGATGCAAGAAAGTTGGTCCACAAGCCCAGTAGCCCCAGCAGGCATGGCCAGGCAGAAGCCACTCCAAGTAACTGCAGTCCCTGAGTTTCATGGCTAGGACCTGAATCCATGAATGTACCCTGCTAGCTCCGTACTTATGTGCATGAGTAAGATTTGGGCAAATCCTCACTCAAATCAGGTGGCAGCTCTGAAAGCAAGATACTTCCATCTTGCAAGCTTCCCTAGAGGTTGGCCAAGTGGTAGATGGAAAAACTGCCAAAAGCCAAAAAGAAAAAAAAATCGCATGGCATTTGACATTTGGTACAAATGATTTTTTTCCTGAAATTCCACATGAAAACCGTTTGCAAAGCAGCAATTCTCTCTGGCTCGGCTCACTCATGGGTGAAGAACATACCAGGACAGGACGGTGTCCACCAACATACTAACACTGTAGTGTGGAAGAGAGACTGGGACCGCGGCCTGATCACTGCCAGACCTTTGTGCCAGATTTGGGCCAGAAGAGAGATTATGTGCCATAATTTCCCTCAGAGACTGTCTGACTCCTCACCTATGGAGGGGACTGGACATGCTGGTCTAGGAAAATGCTGCTTCCTGGACAAGTAGGTAAGGTGTTTCCCCCTTATCTGGGGCGGGTCATAATCCTATCCATCCCGCCCTATCCTATATAATTCTTCAGCGTCCCGCCACACAGTCCTGAGAATATTCATGTCCTCTTGCTGCTGCCCAGAAGCGCCTCATATGTAAATTCCCTCCATAAACTTCTTGATGTAATGATGGAGTTGTCAGCCTCTTTCTTTGGTCTCTGGCGTGGGGAGGAATTTTATGTAACACTGTGTCCACCAACATACCCTGGCCGTGCCCACCAACATACAAGGACTGTGCCCACCATCAGTAGGACCATGGCAAATGGCTGTCTGCACAACTTGGGGACCGCCAAACCCATCCTAATACATACAAGATTAACTTGCATTTTATTACTATGATTTTTGTATGAGTTGGCCTCTGCTGATTCCTAAGTTGGTTCGAAGAACTGAAATGAATGGGATTTTAACTACAATTTTTTTGTCCATATACAGCAATAGAAGGCTCAAACAGGAAATCCGATTTTTCACATACTCTTTGTGGGTGCCTTGCAAGAAGCAGAGGAAATTACTCAGCCCCAACGGATGTCAATGAACTAAGTGGGAAAGTGAAAAACCCGTCAGAGGCTCCGGGAAGGGCTATCTGCGTCCCTGCGGAATTCCCAAGGTGATGTGCAAAGGAATGAATGAAACGCACGTGGGTTCTGGGACCAGAACTGCGAGGATAGCCTAGGGATACGGGATGGCCCTGGAATGTGAAGATAGATGGCCCAGGAGTTCGTGGATGGTCTTGGGCTGCGGGGATGGTTGGGGATTCGGAATGGCCGGGGCATGCGGGCACGCGGCTCGCCCCGCTTCCCCCCACCCCGCTCGGGCCGGGTCCCCCGCAGGTACTCACGCACGCACA